AGACCCAGACACGGGTTTTCCTTAGTCTTCCTTCTGCTGCTAATTCACTTGCAGAAGGCCACAGCATCGTGGAATCTCAGAATGGTTGAGGTTGGAAGGGACCTCTGGAGATCATGTGGTCAAATGCTCTCCCCTGCTCAAGCAGAGCCACCTGTAGCTGGTTGGCCACAACTGTGTCCAGACAGCTTTTGAATATCTTCAACATGGGAGACTCCACAACCGCTCTGAGAAACTTGTGCCAGTGCTTGGTCCCCCTTACAGTAAAAAAGTGTTTCCTGGTGTTCAGACGGAGCCTCCTGTGTTTCAATTTGCAGTCATTGCCTCTTGTCCTGTCACTGGGTACCACTGTAAAGATCCTGACTCCATCTTCTTTAAATCCTCCCTTCGGGTATCAGTAAGTTCCCCCCTCCCCCGCCCCGAGCCTTTGGTTCTCTAGGCTGAACAGTCCCAGATCTCTCAGCATTTGCTCATGTGTGAGATGCTCCAATGCCTTAATCATTTTCATGGACCTTTGCAGAACTCTTTCCAGTAGCTCCATATCTCTCGTACTGGGAAGCCCAGCACAACACAGTACTCCAGGTGTGGCCTCACCAGTGCTGAGTATAGTGAAGGATCACCTCCCTCCACCTGCTTGCAACACTCCTAATGCAAATCCATCCATGGCAGTTCTTCTGCTCCCCCAACTCTAACAAGCTCAATTAGATCCTGAGCCAATTTTTTTACTACCTACAGCAGATGCATACAACCTAGACATTTCAAAAACGGTATGTAGAAGCTAGCATTTTTGTATTACAAGTTACAATGACTGAAGTCTGATTTACCAACTACTGGGCTGAGAAACTGTTTTCTTGCTACGAAACTTTAGTCTAAAGATAAAGAGAAAGCAGATGTTAAGGCTAAACCCCAACAAATTAAATACAATTTTAGGATCGGACAAGCCAAAGAATAATACTGATATTTAGCTTGTTGAAGATGAAAAAGAAAATAGTAAGATTGGTTGAAATATATTTGAAGTAGGAAGCCTACTATTGAAACTGAGAAATTAATAAGGTTTAAAAAAAATGTTCTTGGAAGACAATGAGCTGCTTAAAGTCAGATAAGAAAATCAAAATTCATTCTTTCAATCAATGTTAACTTTAGAGATTAGGGAAGGTCCCATACCTGTGCAGTATAGGTTTTGGAGGGCAGGTGGAAAGCGTGTATCTGAAAAACTTAATCACACCAAGGTATCAAATAGAAATAAATTTAACACACACTAAAATGGGAGTTGTAAATGTTTTTTTCATGCAGGACTCTCGTGAAATTGCTTAACTACCAACTACTGTCCCTTTGTACTTGACACTTGGAATACTGTGTTCAGTTTTGGGCCCCTCACTACAAGAAAGACATTGAGGTGCTGGAGCGTGTCCAAAGAAGGGCAGCGAAGCTGGTGAAGGGTCTAGAGGACAAGTCCTACGAGGAGCGGCTGAGGGAACTGGGGCTCTTTAGTTTGGAGAAGAGGAGGCTGAGGGGAGACCTTATCGCTCTCTACAACTACCTGACAGGAGGTTGTAGCGAGGTGGGTGTCAGTCCTTTTTCCCAAGTAACAAGTAATAGGATGAGAGCAAATGGCCTCAAGTTGTGCCAGGGGAGGTTTAGATTGGATATTAGGAAAAATTTCTGCATCGAAAGCATTGGAACAGGCTGCCCAAGGAAGTGGTTGAGTCCCCATCCCTGGAGGTATTTAAAAGACATGTAGACGTGGTGCTTAGGAACACGGTTCAGTGGTGGACTTGGCAGTGTTAGGTTTATGTTGACTCGATGATCTTAACGGTCTTTTCCAACCTAAATGATTCTGTCATTCTGTGATTATTACTGAAATCTCCTTCAGTAACAGAAGGGTGGTAAATAGTTAACATGAGGCCAAAAACACAGAAGGACCCATCCTGGACATTGGAAGCCAATTGGTACTAACTGTAGTAGAGAATGGAGTTAATAGACATGTGATATATCGGGGAAGAGTCAATATAGCTTCTGTAACAGGAAGCTTCTGTATGACTGGCTATATTCTTTGAAGAATTAAGCAGGCAACTTTACAAACAAAGCAGTGGTCCTGAAAGTCACTGCTACCTCTTAAGAAGTGGCTGGGAATCCTTACTATGCTGCATAGCTGCCAAAACAACTACAGTGCTAGGAATTATTAGAGAAGGAACCAAGAACCAAATAAAATGTTATTATATGCTCACATCCAGAATGGTACAGTTCTACTTACCCTATCTCAAAAAAGATGCAGTTGAGCAGAGACCATACCAGTATGGTATTTACCACTGGGGATTGCTTTGGAGGCCAGAGTTGTAACAGGTCTCAGGAAGGTGTTAGACAATTTAATGAAGACTATGTCCATTAGCAGCTATTAAAGTTGATGGTCTGGACAAAACCTCCAGCTCAAAAGTCTGTGAAATCTGACTGATGAAAGATGAGAAGATATACTAGAATATACAAAGATACCCTGTTCTTAAACTCTTCTCACAGCATCTGCAACAGGCTTTGTCGAAGAGTGTGTTCTGGCTGGCTGGTTATTTATTCTGATTCATTTTGGCAGTTCTCATGATCTTCTGTTATACTCTCCATAGTGTTGACCCCAACGATCAGAAGAAGACGGCTTGTTATGACATAGATGTAGAAGTTGAAGACCCATTAAAGGGACAGATGAGTAGTTTTCTTCTCTCAACAGCTAACCAACAGGAGATTACAGCATTGGACAACAAGGTACTAGCCCAGGAATAAAGTATCACATGGCATATACACTTATTGTGTACCTTCATGAGGGTTTGGTGTCACACATCAAAGACAGTAATGTTGTGAGACAAGGACTTCTCAATTGAATGTGTTTTCAAAGGATAAATCAGCCACATGCAATGGGAATACAGTGGGGTGAGTGGCATTCCCATGTAGGATTTGATCCAGGGCCTGACACGGTTGTCAAGGTGATAGAAGCAGTTTCACAGACAGTATACTGAGTCCCCTGGCATTCAAGAATCATCTGAACTGCTTGACTATAACTTTTTATTGAGAGGTCATGGTATCTTGCTAAATTGCTATAAGGCAAAGCTAAGAGAATTTTAGTAGATGTGTTTTGTGTATGCACAGTTGTGGAACAGCTCTCTGCAGTAGGTGCAAATACGGAAAATGCATGGCAGAAAAATCACTTGGAGCAGTTTGGCAGACTTGTTTTCAGCGTTATTGAAAGAGGATCATGCACCCTTCAAATAATAGTATCTTAGAGCAGTGGTGAGCTCTGCAGGCTGTATTAGGGATTCATGTCATGGGGACTGTTAGCCAGCTTTTGGCACGTGTAAATGGCTGATTTGTCTTGGTAAGGGATAAACAAAAGTGGCTTATCAGAGCAAGAGGAGAAGAAGAGGTGCAACATTGTGGACTACAGATGATGTATGTGCTATACAGTCAGGCCTGGTTTCTGTTTGTTTACCTCTAATACAAACAAATATGTTAAAATCTGGTCTTCATGCAATTTTAAAGGGGATTTGGACAGTAGCAATCGTATGGATTCTGGTACTGTTGCAGCATCTTTTGTTTTATGGCAGTTGAGAAAGGTCCTTTTCAGCAGGGCAGCTGCTCAGCCAGTTGGTTCCCAGCCTATATAGGCTTGTGTGCAGCACACGTAGGATTATTCTGTTTCCAGTCCAGCTCACTCTTCCCCGTGTCTGTATCACCTCTTTTTTGAGCATTTGCTACAGCAGAGGGCAAGCTGTGATTAGTGAAGTTACTGAAGTCACTTCTGGGTAAACAGGCACTGACTGCTGCATTGTTATCATCTGTACCGTTTATTGCTATGCTGCCACAGAGTCCTCTAGTGGGAACTCGGTGCATGCCAACAGATTTCTCTCCAGCACAGCTACATCATTTTCCCAAATAAGGAATGATTTTAAGTTGACAGCAGCTCTCTACTGTTAACATACCATATAGTTGTGCCTACACGAGTGGCCTTGATGGCATAGCCAGATCAGGGGAGGATTATTTTCTCCCAGGTGCCTGGCCACATTAGCTGTTTTGGCAAAACAGATGTATACATGAAATTAAACAAGATACGTTTACAATCTCAAACTAGAATTTTAGAGGAACAGGGTAGAAAAGTTTGCTTTTCTGTGTGTGTATGTCCAAATGATTCATTAGCTGTCCTCCCATTGATCATACTTGATTTTATTATCCAGAGAGATTATAGGACCTTGACTTCTCTTAGGAGTCTTCATGCTTCCCTGCTGGTTAATGCTCATTTCTTTCATAATATTTCTGAAGATACGACTCATTTTCTATAAACCTTCCATACTCCTGATTTCTCATTGTTCACACGCCTCTTCTTTTTGCAGCCAATGTGACTTTAATAGGCTTTCTTGTAAGAAAAAAATCTAGAAGTCATGGCTGTTATGTGAGTTCATTTAACATAGACTCGATCAGGCAATCACTAGAAATTCTAAGGATCACAGCAGGGTATTGAAGATATGCTGATGATTAAACAGGGGAATAACTGCTTTCTTGCATTGGGCACTGTTTAAAGACATATTTATATAGCACCTTTTCTGAAAAATTCCAGACTTGGCAGAAAGACTGATTATACACAGGAAATTACCACATTGTACAGTGACATGACTTAGCTCTTCAGTATTGTATATAGCATGCCATCCAGCAGCTCAATGCAGGCAGTGAAGAAGAATCCTGTACATACTTGTGTTGCAGAATTACAAGTGAAACCGAAATGTAACTGCAGGATTGCAGTTAACTCCCTCTTTTAAGGGAAAAAGCCATGGGAACCTGCACAAGTGTGCGGTGTAGAATTGTCACCTTTGTACATTACAAGAAGTAAAAGATGCTAATGGGGCTGACTTCAGGGTCACTGGAGCATGGGTGGAATTAAGTAACATCTGCTTCGTTTTTTTTTTTTTGTCAGATTCATGAGACAATCGAATCCATAAATCAGTTAAAAATACAACGTGATTTCATGCTGAGTTTCTCCAAAGATCCCAAAGGATACATCCAAGACCTTCTCCGGTCCCAAAGTAGGGATCTTAAGGTGAGCTCAGGTTTGAAGAATGTAAGAATTTTATCTAAATGTATATAGAGTATATAGCTAAAACATCCAGGATGGAAAGTTGGTGGAAGACAGACAATGAGTGGAATACTGCAATCCCAGAGCAGACAGTGCACAGGAAGGACATTTTAGGCTGTATTCTTCTTCCAGTGGAACAGAGGTGCTTAATGCGGGGGGCAGGTGAATTTGTGGTCGGACAGTAAGATCGAAGTGCAGGGCTGTGTTGGCGCGCTCCATAAAATTAAAGCTATATAAAACTCAGCAGGAGCATCTTATGGTACAATAACAGAATTTGGGTGTTTTGTTAGTTCATAATTTAATCTTATTGAAGAAATAGGCAGATTAAATATCAGCTGCCTTTGAGCTTAGCTTTGAGATACCCAAGAAATGGAATGTAAAGAAGTTCAGTTGTTTGCCAGCAAAAATGAATGAGTTGTTCCTCATAAAGTTTCACACTTTGTGTCTTTAACTCAGACACCTCAAAACCAATTGTATTAATAAATCCATGAAATTATTTTAATAAAATCATTGTGTCTTTCAAATATAAATGTCTAGTTTGTAGTCAGTACTCTCCCAAAAATCTACTGTTATGATTATGATTATGATTATGATTATTGTATTAGCCCGCGAACAGGCATCTGAAAGAACATTTAAATAAAGCAGCCTTTAGCTTGAAGAGCTTACAAACTAAGGTGTTGTGGAGCTTAGCTGCATACATAGAATGGTTGTTCAGTGTTCTCCCTGACTGACAAACAGTCCCATAAAGGCCTTTTCTATAATGTTCTTCCCTGCTGGCATGAGAATTGTGATTGCACAATACTACTCTGCATAAGATGCTAATAATTTTATACTACCCTTTATTCTGTGATGCTGGAGACTTAGTCATCAGAATTTTATTTTTTTGTAGAATCATAGAATGGTTTGGGTTGGAAGGAACCTTCAAAGATTATCTAGTCCAACTCCCCTGCCATGGGCAGGGACATCTTTCACTAGATCAGGTTGCTCAAAGCCACATCCAACCTGGCCTTAAACACTTCCAGGGATGGGGCATCCACAACTTCTCTGGATAACCTGTTCCAGCATCTGACCACCCTCATCATAAAAAAATTCTTCCATTATGTCCAATCTAAACCTACCCTCTTTCAGTTTAAAATCGTTGCCCCTTGTCCTGTCACTACAGGCCTTGGTAAAAAGTCTGTCCCCATCTTTCTTACAAGCCCACTTTAAGTATTGAAAGGCCACAATAAGGTCTCCCCGGAGCCTTCTCTTCTCCAGGCTGAACAACCCCAACTCTCTCATCTTTTCTTCATAGGAGAGGTGCTCCAGCTCTCTGACCATTTCTGTGGCTCTTCTGGACCCCATCCAACAGGTCCATGTCTGTCTTGTACTGTGGACCCCAGAACTGGACGCAGTGCTCCAGGTGGGGTCTCAAGCAGAGCAGAGGGGCACAATCCCCTCCCTCAACCTGCTGGTCACGCTTCTTTTGATGCAGCCCAGGATACAATTTGCTCTCTGGGCTGCAAGCGCACATTGCCAACTCGTATCTAATTTTTTGTCCACCAGTATCGCCAAATCCTTCTCTGCAGGGCTGCTCTCAATCCAGTCATCCTTCTGTCTGTATTGATACTGAAGTTTGCCCCGACCCAGGTGATGACCTAAGTTGCTCTTCCCTTATCCACCAATGCAGTCACTCCATCGTAGAAGGCCACTAGATTAGTCATGCACAATTTGCCTTTGGTGAAGCCATGTTGGCCATCTCTGATCACCTCCCTGCCTTCCACATGTCCCAACGTGTCTTTCAGGAGGATCTATTTCATAAGCTTACTGGGCACAGAGGTGAGGCTGACCGCTCCGTAGTTCCCACGGTCCTCCTTTTTACCCTTTTTAAAAATGGGTGTGAGGTTTCCCTTTTTCCAGTCACCGGGGACTTCGCCTGACTGCCATGACTTTTCAAATATGTTGGAGAGTGCCTTAGTGACTACATCAGCCAGTTCCCTCAGGACCCTGGCACGGACTTGTGTATGTTCAGGTTCCTCAAATGGTCTCAAACCTGGTCTTCTCCTACGATGGCAGGGACTTTTTTCCCCCTTGAGGTTCAGGGCCTTGAGAGATGTGGGAAGAGAGATTACCATTGAAAACTGAGGCAAAAAAAATTGTTGATGAACTTAGCCTTCTCCGTATTGGTTGTCACCAGTTCTCCTGTCTTATTTACCGAGGGGCCATACATTTTCTTTAATCTTCCTTTTCTGGCCAACATACCCGTAAAAGCCCTTCTTATTACTCTTTGCATCCCTTGCCAAATTCAGCTCCAGCTGTGCCTTAGCTTTCCTGAGTCCATCCCTACACATCCAGGCAGCATCCCTATATTCTTCCCAAGATATCCTGGTTCCACTGCCTGTGCATTTCCTTCTTACACTTTAGTTTGACCAGGAAGTCCTTACTGAGCCATGCCAGTCTCCTGCTCCCTGCCCCATTTCTTACAGATGGGAATTTAGAGCTCTTTCACTCTAAGAAAAATGTCCTTAAAGTGCTGCCTGCTCCATTCAGATCCTTTGTCCCTAAGGGCAGTTTTCCAGGTGACACCATCCACTAATTCCTTAAACAACTCGTTGGTTTTTTCAAATCTTGCTTTCTTGGCAGTTGCGTAGAGACTGAAAAATCAGCTCAGGACTCTGGCCATTTTGGAATTACTGTGGTTTTCTGTTCCTCACATTCCAATAGAGTTATTTTTCCTTAATGCTTTCCTTATCAGAACTTTTCCTTGAAATCAAGGTAAGATATGCTTTGAGATGAGGGCAACACTGGTATGGAGTCGTGCTTCAATCTGATGTGAATATCTTAAAAATTTCAAGCTGTTACCCCGTGTATGGGTAACTACTGAGGTTCTTTGGATATATAGGCTTATAAAATATACAGTGCCAGGAAACTTTTCCTGGGCACTGGAACTAAACTGTCCATGCTGTTAAATTGTTAGAGATTGTGGCACTTAGCCTGGGCAGCTACTGGTGTCCAGAATTATTCCTTGGCACAATTGAGGACCAGAAGTTAGGAGCTGTTCACGGTTTGTATGCGACCATCTTGTTTTGGTAGCAAGCACACATGCCATTCCTTGTCTGTTTGCTTTGGGCTTAGAGAGCAGTCCTGAACATTTCTAATATAGTAACGTAGATAAATTTTGACTCTAGGTAAATCTGAATGTTTCTCTATGTGGTAGAAGAGCTATAGTGAAAAATGTTTTTATTTTTGTCACAGGTGATGACTGATGTAGTTGGAAACCCAGAGGAAGAACGCAGAGCTGAATTTTATCATGAGCCATGGTCTCAAGAGGCTGTGAGCAGATATTTCTACTGCAAGGTATGAAGGAATTATCCACACCGCTGGCTTATAAATGAATCTTCCTGCCACTGAACAATTGAATCTGCTGAACTGTACAGTTTCTTTTTTTCTTTCAGATCCAGCAGCGCCGGCAGGAACTGGAACAATCTCTGGGAGTGCGCAACACATAAGTACTGCTTACAAGATCTCATTGGCATCACGACCACCAAACCAGTGGACTTTTCAGTGTTACTTAGCTCACTGTTACACATGGACCTGCTTCCTGACTGGATGAGAATGTGCCATCAACACACCAGTCAGAACACCAGCTTTAGAGTGACCCTTGAAAATCTTGCCCATGGGGGTGTCTCAAACCATTCCAGGCCAGAGACAGCGCCATACAAGTGTCAGTGTTAAAGAAGATTAAAGGTTCATTCATCACTGTACATCATTAAGTTTTAGTGGAAAGTTCAGACACTACACAGCAAACCCTAATGGGCTATGCATAGAATCATGGCTGGCATTGATGGGAGAGGTTGAGGTGGGTGTTATAGGAGACTACAGATTTAGAGAAATAAATGCAGTTCTCATCTGATGTTACCTAAGAGTCTCAAATAGTAAATTCTCTCGAATTAGACAAGATAGTCTTTCTTATAGCTGTGGAATGCTTTATATTCCTGAATAGAGTTTTTATTCAAGCTGGAACAGTGCAAGAAGCCATGTCACCATGTGAAAGAACAAACTAGGAGGATTTTCATTCCTGGAATGAAGAACCCCTCTGGAAGAAAGTAGTATAGTCAGGACATCTCTTCTGCAAACTCTAATACTTCCTCTTTC